GTCGCAACAAAGAGCCAGGAGGCAGGTGGCTTAAACCACAGAGATTTGTCTGTCGTGGTTCTGGAGGCCGGCAGTCTGAAATCAAGGTGTCGGCAGGCTAAGCTCCTTCTGTAGGCTCTAGGGGAGAACCTTGCCTCTTCCAGCTTCTGGTGGCCCAGGCACTGCGTCATTCCAGCACCCCCTCCGTGGTCACATGGCCATCTCTGTGTCTCTGTCTTCTCTCTCTCGTAAAGACACTGATCCTTGGATGTAAGGCGTTGTCAGGGTGATCTCATCTTGAGAGCCTTAAGTAATTAGGTCTGCAAAGACCCTATTTCCAAGTGAGCTCACATTCTGAGGTTGTGGGTGGACATGGATTCTGGTGGCGGGGGACACCATTCAACCTCTTACCAGCCTTGGACATGTGTGAGATGGAGTCTTTGCAAGATTCTGAGCCAAGTTGTGACCTGGGCTGCTATATATTGTGAAGGGGGTCATTCATTTACAGAGGAGGCGAGGCCCTTCTCCTGGTGAGAGCTGGGAACAGAAAGAAACATGCCGCATTTGGGGAGCCACGTGCAGACCTTCTGTCTAAAGTTGGGATGCACCTCTAGGTGGCTAGGGGAGAAAGGGGAAGAAGGCCTTGAACACCACACTCGGTGGCCATAGTGCAGCCCAGCCGAGCTGTTCGACCGACTGAGGTCAAACGCCAGACCTTTGCCCTTGAAGTTCCCCCTCTGGATGTATCAGTATCGCCTGGGAGCTGGGCAAAGAGGCCACCTCTCAAGCCCTGCCCAGACCCCCGAGTCCGACTCTGTTTCCAGCCACCATTTCCTGTCTGTGGCAGATCTTGAGGCAGATCCTGGAGATGTCCTTCATCACCAACAGCCCAGTCCCGCAGATGCAGCTGCATACCATCTTCACGGAGCTGCATGTCTAGGTGAGCCCCAGGGCCGCGCGGGGCGTGGCCTTCCCCAGGGCGGGTCAGGGGAGTCGCGCTGGGGGCGGGTCAGGGGAGGCGGGCTGGGGGCGGGTCAGGGGAGGCGGGCTGGGGGCGGGCAAGGGAGGCGCGCTGGGGCCGAGTCGTTTGCCGACCAGCTCAACGGGTGGCAGGGTGGCGGTGGGCCCCGTCCGATGCCCCAGGCCTCCCGCCTCCTGCCGGGGGCGAGGCACAGGTGGGGCTCCTGCCCGTGTGCCCCGCCGTGGGGCTGACCTCTCCACCCCCCTGCCCGGCCCTCCTCAGGTGTGCTCCAGGGCCCCCGCCCAGCAGCAATAAAGCAGCCAGAACCTGGCGGAGATCGTGCACCGCTTGGTGAGGCGCCCCGAGAGCCCTCGGGAGTGCTGGTCCCCCTCTGAGCGCCGGGCCCCGGGGCTGCCTTGTCCCGCTGCCGCCCTTGACTCAGGGCACGACTGAAGCTGTCCTTCCCCCTCACCCCTGCAGCCCGCTCCTACCCCAAGGAGCTGATGCAGTTCTTCCTCAGTCAGATGGAGATGAGCAAGGAGGCCATCCGCGTGGGGACCCTGGCCCTGATCGGGCAGTGGTGAGCGCAGATGGTGAGCACTCACCCCGCAGGGAGGCCGGGCGGGAGCAAGGGTGGCAGGTGGCAGTCATATCTGGCCTTTTTTCCCCTTAACTGTTTGTCCGCACTCGCGGCGGCATGTGGGACCTGAGTGCCCTGACGGGGATCGAAGCCATGCTCCCCGCGATGGAAGCACGGAGTCTTAGCCCCTGGACTGCCGGGGAAGTGCCTGGGCCATTTCCTCTCTGTAGACCCTGCTGGGTGGGCCGCGGAGTCAGGGCTCTCCGGGGCTCCGTTTCCCGTTCTTGAACCTAAGCAGCCTTGTGTCCCACCCTCCACGGCCTCGCCCCTCTCCTTCAGCCCTGATCCCAGCTTCTGCCTGAGCCTGAATTTCAAACCACAAATCCTAGTATAGCTCCCAAAGCTAGCCGGAAGTCTGCACATAAAGCCTAGATACACAGTATAGATGTGCCCTGAAGCCCCGTTGACCCGGTGCCTAAGCTTAGTCTGAAACCCTGCTTCCGAATCCCCTCAGCCCAGACCCCAAGCCCGGCCTAGGGACCCCCAGGGACACGCTGTTCCCCAGAGCGCCGGCGCAGAGAGCGTCCGCTTGAATGTGAACGCGGCGCCCTCTGCTGGCCGCGGCTGGTCTTGCATGGCTGGAGAAGCACACGTGCTGAGCACAGGCACTGCAGTCCCGCCCATTGTTTCCCAGACCACCGGGCTCCTCTGTCCATGGGATTCTCCAGGCAAGAATACTGGAGTGGGTTGCCATTTCCTCCTCCAGGGGGTCTTCCTGACCCACGGATCAAATCCACATCTCTCCTGTCTCCTGCATTGGCAGGAGCGTTCTTTTCCACTAGCGCCACCCGGGAAGCCCTGAGAAGTGCTTGGTTGGCATCAGTTCAGCCCTTCAGCTACTTATCCTTGTGCAGTACACAGGCTGAGCAACTGTATGTGAGAGACATTCTTCTGACAGTAAACCCATCTTTTACAGAAATGCAAATTTAAGCAACAGAGAAAGTGAAAGTTTATCAGTCCTGTCTCACTCTTTCAGTTCAGTTCTGTTGCTCAGTCGTGTCTGACTCTTTGCGATGCCATGAACCTCAGCATGCCATGCCTCCCTGTCGATCTCCACCTCCTGGAATCAACCCAAACCCATGTCCATCGAGTCGGTGATGCCATCCAACCATCTCATCCTCTGTTGCCCCCTTCTCCTCCTGCCCTCAATCTTTCCCAGCATCAGGGTCTTTTCAAATGAGTCAGCTCCTTGCATCAGGTGGCCAGAGTATTGGATTTTCAACTTCACCATCAGTCCTTCCAATGAACACCCAGGACTGATTTTCTTTAGGAAGGACTGGTTGGATCTCCTTGCAGTCCAAGGGACTCTCAAGACTCTTCTCTAACACCACAGTTCAAAAGCATCAATTCTTTGGTGTTCAGCTTTCTTTATAGTCCAACTCTCACATCCATACATGACCACTGGAAAAACCATAGCCTTGACTAGACAGACTTTTGTTGAAAAAATAATGTCTCTGCTTTTCGATATGCTATCTAGGTTGGTCATAAAATTCCTTCCAAGGAGTGAGCGTCTTTTAATTTCATGGCTGCAGTCACCATCTACAGTGATTTTGGAGCCCAGAAAAATAAAGTCAGCCACTGTTTGCCCATCTATTTGCCATGAAGTGATGGAACCAGATGCCGTGATCTTAGTTTTCTGAGTATTGAGCTTTAAGCCAACTTTTTCACTCTCCTCTTTCACTTTCATCAAGAGGCTCTTTAGTTCTTCTTCACTCTGCCATAAGGGTGGTGTCATCTGCTTTTCTGAGGTTGTTGATATTTATCCCAGCAACCTAGATTCCAGCTTGTGCTTCTTCCAGCCCAGCGTTTCTCATGATGTATTCTGCATGTAAGTTAAATAAGCAGGGTGATAATATACAGCATTGACGTACTTCTTTTCCTATCTGGAACCAGTCTGTGTTTCCATGTCCAGTTCTAACTGTTGCTTCCTGACCTGCGTACAGGTTTCTCAAGAGGCAGGTCAGGTGGTCTGGTATTCCCATCTCTTTCAGAATTTTCCAGAGTTTGTTGTGATCCACATAGTCAAAGGCTTTGGCATAGTTAATAAAGCAGAAGTCGATATTTTTCTGGAGCTCTCTTGCTTTTTCGATGAATCAGCAGATGTTGACAATTTGATCTGTTTCCTCTGCCTTTTCTAAAACCAGCTTGAACATCTAGTTCACAGTTCACATATTGCTGAAGCCTGGCTTGGAGAATTTTGAGCATTATTTTACTAGCATATGAGATGAGTGCAATTGTGCGGTAGTTTGAGCACTCTTTGGCATTGCCTTTCTTTGGGACTGGAATGAAAACTGACATTTTCCAGTCCTGAGGCCACTGCTCAGTTTTCCAAATTACTGAGATATTAAGTGCAGCACTTTCACAGCATCATCTTTTAGGATTTGAAATAGGACAACTGGAATTCCATCACCTCCACCTCCATGACCTCTGTGATGTGAAAGAAATCTAGGTGCTCATTTTTACATAAATGAGTTGAGAAGGGTACGCCTAAACCATGAAGGCTGGTTATCTTTTATTTTAATTTCTCAGTGAACATAGACTATTTTTATAATCAGAAAAAAAGGTTTCCATTTTAGAGGTGAAAAGCTCTTAAGTGTAACATCATCCCTTGGTGCCTGAATTCCTGCATCTTCCACCAGGACCTGATTTCCTGTTATTCTTCCTCCTGCAGTGACGTCTAGTAGCACCTAGACTTGAGTGTAGCAAGGCCCTGAGCGCCTGACTGTGGATGTGTCCACGCCGACCTCTCGAGAGCCTTCTCCGCGCCCTTCCTTACCTCCCTGATCTTCCTCCTCACCCTCCCTCCAGCACACACTCACACTGTTGCACACCAGGCCCCGTGTGTGTCAGCTCGTGTCACTGCTCACAGAGGCTGGGGAGGGACCCGCTCTCAGTGTCCGCCTGTCACAGGGGAGGAAGCTGAGGCTCAGAGGGCCTGAGTAAGTCCCGCGCGGTCACACAGTGGGATGCGATGGAGCCAGAGACAGCACAGCAGCCTGGCCCCGGAGCCCCGGCCTCTGAAGCCGGGCGGGGTGGTCTGCGTGTGTCCGCTGTGTGTCTGGCCCTGTGTGTCCCGCTGAGGGGACCACCGAGCTCTCAGGAGGAGACCCTGCCCTCAGGGAGAGTCCCCTAGTTTCCAAAGAGACACACGCGCAGCAGAGGCCGAGGGAGTGAGGCCTAGAGACGACCCCCTGGGCTGGGGCGGGTGGGCATTGAGAGTGCCGGCTGACTTCTGAGGGCAGCGGCCCTGAGCTTGTGGGGGTGAGTCAGAGGTTCTCAGGAGGCATGGCACGGACGGGTCCTGATCCTCTGTCTCCGTGGAAGGTGGCAGAGGGGCCTCACCACTTCTGGGCATGTCCTCAGATCCCAGCCCTGAGGCCAGTAGACCTCCAGGCAGGCTTTCCTCTTTCAGAGCCCAGAATGAGCATCAGGACCATCTCCCTGGCCATCCGAGTGGTCAAGAACACACTCTCCGACACCCAGTCCAAGGTAACAGGGCGGGGAGACCCAGAAAGGGAGTGTGTGCTGGGCTATGCCGGGCAAGTGGAGGGAAGTCAGGGCGCCTTCTTCCATCAGCTGCAGCCTGCTTGCCACCCGTCCCCTCCAGCTCTGTGCGTGGAGGTGAGGCTGCCTTCTCAAGGAAGGCCCTTTGATGGAAAACCTACCTTTCCAGCCAGTCCTGAGTGGGGCTGGAGAAGAATAAGGCTCCTGGAAGCTGTGGCCCCTCTCCCGAGACCCCCCCTGTCACCAAGAACCTGGAGTTTTGCTCTGATTGGGCTCTGACACTACCCTGGAGAGAGGAAAGGCCAAACACACCCAGTGTCAGCCCAAGCTGCTTGGTTAGCTAGGTGTTTTGTAAGGTCATTACCACCTTTGAGAAAAGCAACTCTGCAAATAAAGGCCAAAACCCACCATCTTGGCCACTGCAGCCTCAGCCCCCTAGAGAATACCTTGACTTCTGGACATGGCTCCTGCGGCGGACCCCTCATGTCCTGGGGGTGCGGTTCAGGATGGTGAGGGTTTGCACACACCAGGGAGGGAACAGGGTGCTCGGTCTTGAGCCTAAGGCAGAGCTGTCTTCAGTCCCTGGAGGATGTCAGGGGCAGAGGGAATAGACTTGTGCTGTGTCGTCCCCACGCATGAACCCTGGGGAGCCCGAGAGAAGAGGCAGGTGGTTCTCACCAGGGCCGCCTGAGGATGGAGCAGCCCTGCCAAGAAAGCAGTGTGCTCATGTCTCTGAAGGGCACAGATGAGGCTCCTGGGTAGACCTGCTCCTGAGCGGGGTCCCCTGCATGAGGCAGGTGGTGGTGGACAGAGTGGGCAGCATCCAGGTAGCCCCAGAGACCCCTTCCAGACCACAGCACCCTCAAATCTTAGCTGTCTCATGTCATGGGATTGGGTGCCTGCAGAACCTCTAGCGCCCAGCGTGTCTGTGCTTTGGCCTCTCAGGTGAGGATGGCCATGCTCTGCATCATCGGGCAGCTGGCCCTGTCAGGATTCCAGGGCAGGATCAAAGGCTGGGGCCTGAAGTACGTGTCTGTGCAGCTGACCTTGTCCACGTACAAACTGGTGAGTGACGGTGGAGTGGTTGGGCTTTAGAGATGGTTCCCACTGCGCTGAGGAGAGAGCACTGCTCAATGAACCTGCATGCATGTAGAAGTGCGCACACACACAGTAAGCTGCCAGGGGTCTAGAAAATAGTGAAACCCGTGCACAGCTCTGGGCTTCCGGGAGACTCAGTATCTGGGTGTAAGCCTCTTGCGGGAAAGCAAACCACAGGTGAGACCATGGCAAGCCCCTGCCGGCCCACAAGCAGGCACTCCTTGGTTCTGTCTTCCAGACCGACCGCAGGGACAACTTTTATCAGAGGGGCCTAGAGGAGAAGATGGTCCACAAGGTCCCCATGGACACCGTGAGGATCATAACCTCTTCTGTCAGTGGGATGAGCAATGTGAGTTGGCCCACTGGGCTGGGGCTGATGGCTCATGTGTGTGCTGTGCGAGGCTGTGCGGGGAGGATGGCACAGGCCCAGAATTCTGCACTGTTTTTTCTCCCATTCCCACTGCCTGGGAGGATGGGTGGCCCCCCCAGATCTTTCAATTGCCTGAGCTCGTTTTTCAAGATTCACTTCCTTCATGGGACCTTATTACCTTCAGCAGGGCAGTGCCTGGCATATAGTAGGCCTAATACATATCACTTGACTTATTGCTTGAACTGCATCCATCACCTTAAAGCCCCTCAGTCCAGGGGTGTGTGTGTGCCCGCGCGCACATGTATTCAGTCACTCAGTTATGTCCAATTCATTGTGGCCCCATGGACTGTAGCCCACCAGGCTCCTCTGCCCATAGAATTTTCCAGGCAAGAATACTGGTGTGGAGTGCCATTTCCTCCTCCAGATCTTCCAGACCCAAGGACCAAACCTGTCTTCTGCATTGGCAGGCAGATTCTTCACCACTAGAGCCGCTTGGGGAGCCCTTGCATATGCATGCATGTGTGTATATGTGTGAGTGTGCAAATAAGTGACTCTAGGGGTTATATTTCACAAACACGAGTTCCAACTCTGTTTGAGGCATCTGGGCATACACAGGAAGGCTCAGTGTGACCCCAAGCTGTTCACAGGCTTTAGGGGAAAAAATGCATCAGTTTTTAATTGTATTACAATGTGACATAGCAGTAAGATAGGGAAAGTTTACCATGACTGCACATGGAGGGAACCATTGTCTGTTAATTGAGGCCATGGGCCAGATGCTCCCCATCCAGTGGCAGCTTCTCCTAATTACAAAAATAATAGTTATAGTAATAATAATAATAGTGGTTACAATTCATTGAGTACACGTGGCAGGCACTGTACTACATGTGTAGTATCTAGAATCTTATTTAATTATCCCAAGCACCCTGTGAGGTAAGGTCTGTTGTTATTATTACCTGGCTTTTATAAATGAGGAAACTGAGGCTCAGAGGGACTCATTAATTTCCTCAAGGATTCTAAGCTGGTAAAAAGTGGAGCCAGGATAAAAATGGTCTTTCCTGTTCAATATGCTACATCCCTGGGGAATCTCAGTAGCCAGGGATTCTAGTCCTGATGGCTACAACACATCAGGCAAATTCACTTGTTAGTATCACAGGAGGTCACCCCAGATTCCTAGGTGTGGGAGTGGGGCTAAAAGGAATCAGGGTAACTAGGGGTGTTCAGTGATCACCTGGCGAGATGGGAGATGGCAGGGTGAAGTTGAAAGGCTAGAGTCATGGCTCGAAGAATCTGTAGAGAAATAGAACCAGTAGGAGATGTGTGTGTGTGTGTGTGTGTGTGTATCTCAAAAATAACAATAAACTCAGATATGCAGATGACACCACCCTTATGGCAGAAATCAAAGAGCAACTAAAGAGCCTCTTGATGAAGGTGCAAGAAGAGAGTGAAAAGGCTGACTTAAAACTGAACATTTAGACAATGAAGATCATGGCATCCGGTCCCATCACTTCACAGCAAGTAGATGGGGAAACAATGGACACAGTGACAGACTTTATTTTCTTGGACTCCAAAATCTTTACAGATGGTGACTGCAGCCATGAAATTAAAAGATTCTTGCTCTTTGGAAGAAAAGCTATGACAGACCTAGATGGCATATTAAAAAGCTGAGACATTACATTGCAGACAAAGACCTGTATAGTGAAAGCTATGGTTTTTCCAGGAGTCATGTACAGATGAGATAGTTGGACCATAAAAAAGTCTGAGTGCCAAAGAACTGATGCTTTAGAACTGTGGTGTTGGAGAAGACTCTTGAGAGTGCCTTGGACAATAAGAAGCTCAAACCAGTCAATACAAAAGGAAATCAGTTCTGAATAAACATCGGACGGACTGATGCTGAAGCTGAAGCTCCAATACTTTGCCCACCTGATGGGAAGAGCAGACTCATTGGAAAAGACCCTGGTCCTGAGAAAGATTGAAGGCAGGAGGAGAAGGGGACAACAGAGGATTAGATGATTGGATGGCATCTATAGACATCTACCGACTCTATAGACATGCGTTTGAGCAAACTCCGGGAGATGGTGAAGGACAGGAAGACCTGACATGTGGCAGTTCATGGGATCGCAAAGAGTCGGACATGACTGAGCAACTGAACAACATCATATGTATTGTGCAATTGTGAAGGCTGGCAAGTGTGAAGTTTAGGAGGTAGGCCAGCAGGCTGAAAACTCAGGCAGTAGCTGAGGCTGCAACCTTGAGGCAAACTCTCTTCTTCCTCAGGGAAACCTGTTTTTTGCCCTCAACTGATTTGATCAAGTCCACTCACATTTTCCAGAGTAACCTCCTACATGGATTATGGACCTTGATCAGATTTCATCAAAATACCTTCACCGCCATGCCTAGATTAGTGTTTGATTGAATAACTGTGTGCATTCACTTGCCAAGCAGACACATAGAAACTAATCATCACAGTTGGCAAGCATGGCTAGGTTGTCTGCCCAGTGTGCCTCTCTAGGGGATTGGGGGTTAGAGGGAGGGCTGGTCAAAGAGGATATGCTGGCTGCGGGGTTGGAGTGAGGCAGGGGGCACAGAGGTCAAGGGCCCAGGACTAGCTGACCCCCTCGGCCATGGGGTGGGTGCAGCTTAGACGGCCTTGGCCGAGACCCAGGCTGGACAGCAGAGCCGGCGGGCCTGAGGTGGTCAGTCAGTGCATCAGAGTGTGGTTCTGGAGAAGCGAGGCTGAGACAAGGCTGTCGGGGTGGGGAGGGGCCACCATCTCATCGCGGGGCTGTGCAATGCCCAGGCTGGCTGACCCCAGCACCCCCACCTCACCCCCATCGCCCCCATAGGAATTTTGGGAGAGGCTCCCGTGCTGCATCATGGAGACGGACTACACGGAGGCCTTGACCCCCATCTGCACCAGCCTCACCAACCTGGCCGAGCGCCAGCTGCACGCCAAGGATGAGGAGGCCAACTCAAGCAAGAGCAGGCACGGTGGGCAGCCCCACTGCGCCAGCTGGAGGGACTGGGCAGGTGGGCCACCCCGTGCCTAGGACCGCTCCCCCTTCCCCAGGAAGCAGCCTGGAGCCCAGAGAGCAAGGCCTTGCCAAGGAGGCCGCCCTTGCCGAAATCCGAGGAGGTTAAAGCCATGCACGCTTCCTCTGGCAGCCCACTCCTCTGGTCCCCACCTCCCACCCGCCCTGGCCCAGACCCCAGGGCAGGGGTCCTGGCTCAGGCTTCCCGCAGGTGTGAGCTCTCTGGCCCCCGTGAGCCCACTGGAAGGACTGGATATCCCATCCGAGCCCTCTGGAACCACCCCCACCAGGCCCTCTGACTCACCATGTTGACGCCCTTCTTAGCACCAGACCCTCAAGAAAGGGACTAGACCGACCTACTTACGTGAACCCTCCTGTCCCACAGGCTGCTGTCATGGTCCTGGGGCTTTGAGGATGGATGTGGCTGGTGACAGGAGGTGACTGCGCACCTACAGGACCCAGAGATAGTAGGGGCAGAGCCTGCTCTAAGCATCTGGCTAGACCACCCCCGGTCTGCCTCCTGCCCGGACCCTGCGTCTAGGGCTGGCTCCTTCCTGGGTGCCGCGCCTCCCTGCAGCTTCCAGCAGGCCTGCCTTTCCCTTAGTCGCTGGTCCAAATGCTGTGAGTTCCCTACTTGTGGGTTCAAAGCCTCCCAAAGCCTGGAGAGGGAGGGGAGGGGAGGTGGTGGTGTCTAGTTACTGTTGGCTCAAGGAGGCCCAGACTCAGAGTAGGAGAGAACCACTCTCAGGCCGGCCGGGTGTGCACTCCCAAGCGGGCCTGTCCTGAAAAGAGCACAGTACATGCACGCATATATATGGAATTTAGAAAGATGGTAACAATGACCCTATATGCGAGACAGCAAAAGAGACACAGATGTAAAGAACAGACATTTGCATTTGGAGGGAGAAGGCAAGGGTGGGATGATGTGAGAGAATAGCTCTGAAACATGTATATTACCATATGTGAAATAGATCCCCAGTCCAGGTTCACTGCATGAAACAGGGCAGGCACTCAGGGCTGGTGCACTGGGATGGCCCTGAGGGGTGGGATGGGGACGGAGATGGGAGGGGGGTTCAGGATGGGGAACACATGTCCACCCATGGCTGATTCATGTCAATGTATGGCAAAAACCACCACAATATTGGGAAGTAATTAGCCGCCAATTTAAATAAATAAATAAATAAATTGGAAGAAAAAAAAAAGAGCATTTTCTCAGCCCCAGCCCAGAGCACCAGGCTCCTCCTTTTCGGGATGGCCATTTGTAGTGATGTCCTTTGTGGAAAATCCCCCGTCCTGGCCCCTCCTGAATTCTGGGGGGCTCTGGGATGCTGTTGGGGCAACACCTTACAGGGGAAGCTCCCCCGGGGTACGGGAGCAGGGCAGCCTCAGTGTTTTGTATCTTTCTCTCCCCAGTGGATCTGTCCGCGCCACATAAGCTGCTGGCCCGACTCCTGGTGAGTGGCTCACGGGTCGTGCACTGGCCTGGCCCCCACTGTGTCCTGAGGTGCCCCTCCCATGAGCTCCTAATCCCCAGGGCCTCCAAGGAGAACAAGGAGCTGGATGCTTGGCAGGACAGAGCTTTCCAGGCACCCGTCATCCCTCTGGGGAGATATGGCAAGGGCAGCAGGCTCCCAGATTCCTCTGCTGGGCCTTTGAATGGCCCCAAGCATCCACAGGACTCTGTCAGCAGTGCCCTTCCCTGGGGGTCAGCTCCGCCCTGCACCATGCATCCTTCTCCTTGTGTTGACCCTGCTCCGAGCTCCATGGAACCCGGGGTGGGGAGGGAGCCCATGCTCTCGTGTCTCCTTTCGTGCCTTCAGCATCCTCTGCAGGGATGCTCTGATCCTGGGAATCCTTGGAGTTCTGCTTGAAAGGCCCCATCCTGTCCAACTCTCCCTTTATGGGCTCGGACAGCGAGGCCCCAGGTTGGGGTGTGTGGGGCCTAGGGCTGCCCAGCCAGGGAGGGGCCCCACTGGAGTCTCGGTGTTCCCCAGGTACTGATGTCGTCCCCCTCCAAGGGGGAGAGCTGCGGAATCTCCATGCTCAACCTTCTGAAGACCCTGAGCCAGAGCATCGCCCCCTCCATGGCCGACATGTGGGAGCTGGAGATCCCGCAGCTGGTCAAGTACCTGGAAATGAGATGCCCCGGGTGCATGTGTGAACCAGCCCCTAAGTTTACCCGCCGGGTGCTAGACCTGTGGCTGAGCAAAGGATCCTGAGTGCATGTGTGATCCCCCCACACACCCCTAGTGTACATGCCGGGTACTCAGCACCTGATCTGAGCAAAGGAGCCCGGGGTGTGTGGCCACCGCACATCACTGTACATGCCGAGTGCCAGTCACGTGGCCTGAGCAAAGGCGCCCAGGCTCCAGGTGGCCGGCACAGCCTACTCTGCTCCTTGGGAGGGTGGGGAGGAACATGGGGCTGTGGGGAGCCCGTCCACAGAGGACCCCAGATGCTGCCTTTAGGAGGCGGCATGGAGGAGCTGCAAGAGAGAGGAGCACGGGTGGCCCTTCTCTCTGCAGAACACACCGAGTTTACCTGGAACCAGAAGCTGTGGGAGAACAGGCTGATTCAGGTAGAGGTGATCCCGCCGCCTGAGGCCAGGCTGGGGGGTGGTTGGGGCAGCTCGGTGGGTTTGGCGTGTGGGGAGTTCTGGAGACCCTAGGGGACACATTCCCCTCCTGTCACAAGACTTGGGGAGCACAAGCAGCTCCAGCAGGAGACCCCACCCTGGAAGCCCAAGCCCCGGAGGCAGCACAGGGTGACCCCTCCCGGCAGCCCCCAAGACGGCACAGCACAAGGCTGGGTCGGGGCAGAAAGGGCGAAGCCCTCTGGAGACCGGGGAAGATGCTGGAGAGGGAGAGTCACGGCTCTAGGAGCACAGCCCTCTGGAGCACTGCCCACCTGTGCCTTCTTCCCCCCACCCCCAGTTTCTGAGAAACTCCCTCAAGATGCCTCGGGGTTCCCGCTGGAGCCTGCGTCTGAGCAAAGAGCTGAACAACCAGATCGAGAGCTTCAACAGCCCCTCCCTGGAGAAGGTTGGTTCCCAGAGGCAGGGCTGTTCAGACAGGGAGGGGACTCCGGCGACAGCCCGCGTGAGGCCAGGTAGGCCTGAGGCTGCCCACAGCGCCCTGGGAGGGGAGACGGCTGGCTGGTCCAGACCCGAGGGCTGTGGTGTTTTGTTCTGTCTTGTTTTCCCCTCAAGATCCTGCTTTGTTGGAGCTGGGGGGCATTTCCCCTCCAGTCACCAGCTTCCTCATTCCTCTCACCGCACGCCCACCTGCAGTGTCGTCCCTAGCAGAGTCCGTGGCAAGGAATGAGATCTGAATGTGTTTTGGTAAATAGTGAAAAGGGTGAAGGTGGCACCGATCCACAGGATGCCCAAGGGGGAAGATAAGGCCTGGAGGGGGAAATGGAGCAGGCACTTGGTGGTGGACCTCCACCTTTGGCAGACGGGGGTAGGAGACAGTACGCCTTCTATCAAACCATGCTGCACACCCGCCCCCATCCCTCCCCACACACTAGTTTCTCCTCCCTGTCTCATCCAGCTGTTGGCTCATGACCACTGTGTGCGTATATTTCATCGTTGAGGGGTCTTTACAAAACCATAAACATTGTTGAAAATCAGAGAGGGTCCCGACCAATGGAAAGCAGTTCATGTACACAGATTAGAAGACAGTATATTTAAGATGGTGACACTTGCCAATTTATCTATATATTCAACACGACCCCCACTGTAATCCAAGCTGGCTTCCCACCCCCACCCCCAGAGATTGACAATGTGAAACTAAAGTTCCTGTGGAATTATAAGGGGCCCAGAATAGCCAACACAGTTATGATTTAAAAATGAACAAAATTGAAAGACTCATATTTTGCAATTTCAAGACTTCTTGCATAATTATAGTAAACAAGACAAGTTGATACTGGCATCAGGATAGATAATAGATAGATGGAATAGAATTGAGGGTCTGGAAATAGACCTCACATTTACTGTCAATTCATTTTCAACAATAGTACCAAGACACTTCTTGGTACTCAGGAGTAGTCTTTTCAATAAATGATGCTGGGAAGACTTGCATAGCCACTTACAAAACGATGAAGTTGGGCCCCTTCCTCATTCCATACACAAAAATGAACTCAAAATGGACCATATATGTAAATATAAAAGGTAGAACTATAAAATTCTTAGAGTGAAATGTAAATATAAGTCTTCATGATCTTGGCCTGAGCAAAGTCTTCTGAGAAATAACACGCAGAAGCACAAGTGATGAGAAAAAAAAAAAAAAAGATAAACTGGATATCATCAAAGCTAAAAATTTTTGTGCTGAAAATGGTACCATCAAGAAAGTGAAAAATCAACCCACCAAATGAAAGAAAATGTTTGCGAATCTAGCCCCTGAGTAGGGACTTGTATCTGGAATATATAAGAACTCTTATAACTCAATAATATAATGACAAATAAGCCAATTTAAAAATGGGCGAAGGAAAGAGATACAAATGGCAAGTAATCACATGAAAACATTCTCAAGACCATTGCCATTGAGGAAATGCAAATCAAAACCTCAGGGCGAAATTGAAACACGCCTACCCCTCGGAAGAAAAGCTGTGACAAACCTAAAGAGAACATTAAGAAGCAGAGGCAAATCGCTTTGCCAGCAAAGGTCTGTATGATCAGAACTGTGGTTTCCCAGTGGTCCTGTATGAGTGGGGAAGCTGGACCACACAGCAGGCTGAGTCAAGACGAGTCGATGCTCTCAGGGGTGATGCTGGGGAGGCGCCTGAAGTCCCCTGGACTGCAAGGAGATCCAACCAGTCAGTCCTAAAGGAGGAAACCAACCCTGAATGTTCACTGGAAGGACTGATGCTGAGGCTGAAGCTCCAATATTCTGGCCACCTGATGTAAAGAGCCGACTCATTGGAAAAGACCCTGATGCCAGGAAAGACTGAGGACAGGAGGAGAGGGGGGTGACAGAGGATGAGATGGTTGGATGGCAGCATTGACTCAATGGATGTGAGTCTGAGCAAACTCCGGGAGACAGTGAAGGCGAGGGAAGCCTGGCGTGCTGCAGTCCATGGGGTCACAGCATCGGACACGAATAGTGACAGAAAGACAGAACAAAGGGCGGCTGGTGACGGCATCTGGGGAAGAAGGAAAGTACGCCGTGTTTGCCCTCACAGAGCCGAGACTCCTCAATCAGCCAGTTTGTGGGTTATCTTGACTGGTTCCTTTCTCAGCCTGGTGGGAGGAAGCAGCTGATGGTGGCCTCTGGGGTCCCAGGAAGACTGAGGGAGACAGAGGACACCCCAGGAGCTGGGGCAGCAGCTTCGAAGCCCGTGTTCCTTGGGACAGCGGGCCCTGGGCGTTGCCCACAGAGCCCAGGTGTGTCTCACCTGGGCTGCATTGGAGTAGGGGTCCTGGCAATGTAGCATGAGGGGCACTCAGGCTTTCTTCACTTCCTGCTTGAAGAAATGCTTCTTGGGAATCCTGACCACCTGTGCCAGCTTCCCGAAGAGGATGAAGGCTTTTTACGCAGCAGCTCGCTCTCCTGCAGCCAAGACAGACAAGCTGTTTCTGAAACGTGGGAAAGGAGAAGCCCAATAAAACCCCAGCCATTCGCTGTGGACGTTCTTAAACACCCTGGTGGTCCACAGGGTGGACCACAGAGTCCACAGGGCTCTGGGGACTGGGCAGTATTCTGGTGTTGGTGACTTTCTCTTGCCTAGACGGGAGCTGTGCTGGATCTGATCGCCTACCACCCCAACCTAGCCGAGTTCCCACCCCACAAATCACAGATATCCATATAGCATTTGTGGCTGGGAGGAATTAGAGTCAGGGGAGGAGGGTCCCATGGGCCCTAGAACAAGATTTTTTTTTTTAACCAGCCCCCGTGATCAGCCAATCGATACATCAGTACCCAAGTCAGAACTGCACCCCTTTTCATTCCAGGGCACCTCTCTCCTTTAGGGGATGAGCAGTGGCCACCTGTCTACTGAGCAGCCATTCGTGGGGACCCCTGTGAGGGCCAGGGCCGAGCAAGGGGCCAGTGTGGACTCACGTTGTCAAAGAAGGCTCTGCACTGCTCGGAGATGGCGTTGAATGCGGACCCCAGGTCCCCTTCCCGCAGCTCGACCAAGCCCTTGGCCAGGACCTCCAGGCCCTCAGAGGTCACGCTGGTGCTCACGCCGGGGCCCCGCAGGGAACTCACACACTTCTCCAGTAAGAGCTTCCGGTACTGCCTCACCTGGGGGACACGGGGCCGTCAGCCCCCGCCTGGCTGCCCGGGACACGCCGCCATGGGCCCCTCACCCCCGGCCCCCGCCCCAGCCCCCACGGACCTTCCTGGGGGCGCTGAGGCCACGTTGCCGAGGGCGCGCAGGGAGAGCACCCTCAGAACCTCGTCCTCCTGCTCCGCGCCCTCTCCAGCATCAGCACCGCCCGCTTCAGCAGCTTCTTCTGGTGCAGGATCGGGTCACTCATGACCTGGAAAGGAGAACTGTTCACAGTCACCCCCGAGAGAGGCTCTCGTTCCTCAGCCTCAAAACGGGACAGGTGATTGCTGGGAGCCATTATGGGAGATCCCGCCCATGACGAGGTCATGAAGAAAATACCGGACAGGCAAGGCCGTCCGGGACCCCATCCATGACGAGGTCATGAGGAGAAAACCTGACAGGCAAGGCCGTCTAGGATAAGGGACCCTCCAGATTGGCCTCGGCCTCTGCCCCACCCTGTGTCCTCCCCCCTTTTCTGTTGTTCTTGTTTGCCCTGCTGCGGATTCTTGTGCTGCCTGCCAAGAGATCTCCTGCTCCTCTTTCAGTGAATAAAGAACAACTTAAAACCCTAACTAATAAATCTCCTGGATGCTGGTACCCTATGAAGGGGCCAGGGATGAAGGAAATGCTTCAATTCAAACCCTTTTGCTGGCATTCTGGCTTGTTTGATGAATGTGTGCTCTCATTACACAAAATGCTCATGATTGTTCTAAACATCCTAAGCACAGTACGCTAACAAAAGAAACTATTAAGCATAGGTCCCTGTGCGGGATGAGAAAACCTCCACAAATATTATAGCCACAAATGTGCCTAATAAAATAGAGTTTAGATAGAGATTAGCTGGCGACTTCTTGCAGGTAATTAACTTTTAGACTAAGAGCCTGTTTTGTGCCATATCTGCTGTTTTTGCAATCCTTTGCATTTCTGTTCTGTGAAAAATGTAGTCCTATCTAGTTCCCATGGAGATGACACCTGATAGAAAGAAAATAGATTAACCACAAAAAAGACAGGGTCGGCTACTGAAGTTGCTTAAAGTTGCACCAGGTGCAAACCATAAATTGTCAACAGGCCTGAAAGCCAAAAGATATTATACATAGAGATTAACCATAAAAAGGCCCTAATAGGCACAGAGCCTTTGGGGGTGAGGAAGCCCTATTAGAAAATACAAAAAATATTGATTTAAAAGTGGTTATTGGATCAACGTTTGATTGATGTTAATGTGCTGAGGTTGTGCAGTGGAAACTATTGTTAATGTAGTTGGAGATCTCAAAAATAAGAGTTTAGCCCTAGTGTAAAAACAATAAGATAATTGTTAATTTTAACCAAGAGCGCTAAACAGGGGCTGCCTCACCAGAGCCACAGAGTCTTTGTGTGTTAAACTTTTTAGATACATTTAGCTGAGAATTTCTGCAAAAAGACTGACTTTTATGTTAACAGGATTGTGTTTCTATTATGCTGCGACTTGCTGTACCGTGAGACCGCCACTCTTCTGTTTCCTGCTGAGCTCAAGGCCAGAAGCTAATGCACAAAAATCCACGGGAAAGACGCTCATAAACAAAATATACAGCGCACACCTGGCTTCGTGCAGGACACGCTGATGTAACGTTAAACCAAGTCTGTGTGCTTATCTGCCCCTTAGAAATGTACCAGCTTAGGGTATAAAGGCGATGGTGAAAAATAAAGCAACTGCCAGACTCTGCTGCATATCCTGGCCTGGTCGGTCTCTCTCTCTCTCTCTCTCCCTAGCAGACTCGTCCCTATCAAGGCCGGTCCTACGTGTCTCTCTCTCGCCGACGCTGTTCATCCTGAGGGTTCCCCTGGATCCTGCTGGGGCTGGGCCCCGGCACACGTGTACTGGAGGCTGTCACCTGGCTCGAGGCCTGTCTCCCAGTCTAGCACTAAGACCTGGAGACTGCCCAAGCCCTGGAAAGCAACAGCACGTGGTGTCTCCAACCCCACTTTGACCAGAAGCAGCACCTTGAGCCTCACCCATCTACTCCTCAAGCCACACTGGGTGGGGCCTGCAGCTTCTGCTCCTGTAGGCTAGCCAGTCCTGAGATGCAGCAGGGCCTGGGGCTATGTCCATCCTCCCTTACCCTGGGGGAGCCGCCAGAGAAAAAGACTGGGGGTGTCCTTGGCCCAGAGGGCCTGAAGCTCTCCCCAAGCAGGGAGAGTTGACAAAGGGCAGGGAAGGCCTTGGTGACCATCCAGGCCCCCAGCTGCAGCCCCCAGCCTGTTAGAGTCAAGATCTGCCAAGACTGGAAAGATATTAGAAGCCAGCTTCCCAGGCTTTCTGCCTGAGACCACGTGAAACTCCAAGCTAGTCAAGCTCATGGGCAGGGAAAACAGTACCCGAGAAGGGCCAGAGAGGGGCTGCAGGCTTAAGGTGTGCAGATGTGCTGGGCCCTAGAAGCCCCAGGCGGGCTCTGCAACATTCAGATATTCAGCAGGTTTAGGGTAGTCAGTGTAGGCAGCAGAGCCAACCAGCCCTCAACAGAAAGTCTTAGTAGCTCAGTCATGTCCGACTCGTTATGACCCCATGGACTGTAGCTCACCAGGCTCCTCTGTCCATGGGATTCTCCAGGCAAGAACACTGGGGTGGGTTGCCATGCCACTCCCTTTTCCAGGAGATCTTCCTGACCCAGGATCGAACCCAGGTCTCCTGGGTTGCAGGCAGATTCTTTACCACTGAGCCACCAGGGAAGACCTAGCCAGGGCTACCAGTAAATTCTTAGCCAAGTTCAGCCTCCTTAAACCTTGGAGTGCCTGGCTCTCCAGACAAATTAGCTGCTTTCCCTTAAGCCTTGGAATGCCTGGCCCTTCAGACAAATTAGCTGGTTTCCCTTAAGCCTTGGAATGCCTGGCCCTTCAGACAAATTAGCTGGTTTCCCTGAAGTAGCTGGAGCAAAGGGGAAAAGGTGGCTGGGGACAGGATATGCAGCCCTGTTGGATGAGGCCAGGGCCTGCAGCCCTGACGAGGCCCTGCCTTATTTCTGCCCAGCATGGCACTTGCTCAGGTTCAGCTTCTGAAGGCTGGGCACAGCAGCCAAGACACCTGGCGACAGGTCAATCAGGCCACTGCTTGTAAGATTCAGGCTCTTTAGGCCATGGCAGGAAGCCGGAGCCTCCAGTGCTGTGTGTCCTACCAGAGGGGATGCCAAATTCAGCTCCTGCAGCTGTAAGGGGGCAGCTCGGCCGTGTCAGTGCTGATCACAGGCAGCGTGTCCAGGTTCTGCAGCCCCAGTCCTCCCCTACAGCTACCTTCACCTTCATATGGTCCAAACACAGAGTCCCCAGCTTGAGCCTCTGGAGGGCCCCAGCACTGGCCATCTTCAGCCAACGGTTGAATGACAGCTCTAACATCCCTGGGGGCCAGGTATCCCCAGGGGAGGGGCCAAGCACTAGGTCTGGGAATATGTCAACCAGCTCCCCCACATTCTGAAGGCAGCTGGACTTGACCCTCAGCCACCATAGACTGGGAGGCAACCAGAACCCCATGTTCCCATCCAGGCAAGGGCCCAAGAGAAAGAGGTGCTGGAGGAAGCTTAGGTTGCCATCAGGGAGTAGGTCATCTGTATAGAGGCCTATGAAGAAGAGCTGTCCCAAGCCACTGAGAGCTCCTAGCAGAAGCTGAGGGAGACGTAGACTCGGGGCCAGGACCCTGAGCCCAGAGAAGTGGGAGAAGGCATTCAGGCACAGAGCAGAAGTGGAACTGGCAAGACAGAGCTCCGCCATGCTCTGGGGCACAACCTCCAGGGCCCGGGTCAGGTTGGTCACCAAGGAGCATGCAGCAAGGCGGGGCAGGCTGGAGTCCCAAAGGAGCAGACCAGGAAGAAGCAGGAGATCAGAGGCAACCAGGAGCCTTCAGTCACCAGGCAGTCAGAAGCTGTCCAGCCTGCAGTCAGAGGAAGGGGCAGGAGGAGACCAGGCATCAGCAAGTACCACCCAGCTCAGCATCAAGCCTGGGCCACCAAGTAAACAGAATCAGAACCCTCCCATCTCTGCTCCCCTCCCATTCCCAGAGAGGAACCCAGACCCCATTCCCCTACCCCCTGCACACATACACACACAATGCTCATAACGCCCCACAGGATACACCCCCCACCCCTCGCCCGGTGTACCCAGGAGGGCCTGGAAGCAAGGTCAGAGGGCCACAGTGCTTCCAAGCTGGAGAACTGCTGCAAGGGTGGAGCTAGACTCAGGGCTGCTTAGAGCTGAGGACCCAAGGGTCAAGGAAAGACACCTCGTGGGAGGTGGGACCTAGGTCTCGCTTCTCTGCTGTGAGGAAGCAGGTAGTGTTTGTGAGAACATGGTGTAGGGTCAGAGGTCCAGGGTGTCTCTCTGCTGTTGTCCTGGGCGGGTTACCCCGCCCCCCTGGGCTTCAGTTTCCTTATCTGTAAGTCAAGCTGCTTAGCAACTGATCCTTAGATTCAATCAAATGCAATCATGTAACTATTTTCAACTAATTTTTCTGTTCTTTCCTTCATATTATAAATGTGTTGGGGTGGTCAATTTTACAATTTATTGCTCAGATTATAGAATGTTTAGACAAAATAATGGTTGTCAGAGGGGTGACCATCAACCACCCAGACCGTGGACGTGCAACTAAATACAATTCAGTTCAGTTCAGTCGCTCAGTCATGTCCAACTCTTTGTGACCCCATGAACCACAGCACGCCAGGCCTCCCTGTCCATCACCAACTCCCAGAGTCTACCCAAACTCATGTCCATCAAGTCGGTGATGCCATCCAACTATCTCATCTAAATACAGTTACTGATAATAATTAGGCTAAATCCTTTGAAGATGATTGGAATACATTGCCAATTTTTTTTTCTTTCCTTTTTCTTTATTTTTTTTTCCATTTATTTTTATTAGTTGGAGGCTAATTACTTTACATCATTGCAGTGGTTTTTGTCATACATTGAAATGAATTAGCCATGGAGTGGCTGTGTTATAGTGGAAGCTTTATTGGGACCTTTATTTTGAAGTTTAAGTATTGGGAGAAAGAGTTATGTCAATGGACAAGCCAAGAGGTAGATATTCATGGGCATTTATTATTCATCTTGCACCTGAATTCCATTCCTGGGCCTGTTTGGTGACCATGTCCACCTGGCCTTTAGTGTTCCTGCTAAGAGTCTGCCACCCTCGGATCTTGGTAGCCCTAGTGAGATCAGGGAGCCCATTTTAACACAGCATCCAATGACTATCCTCAGCCTTACAGAGAATAGCCATGACAGTGTTTTTCAAAAATGACAGTGTTTCCCTCACTCATGTATTTATCATGGCTTCCCTGATAGCTCAGTTGGTAAAGAATCTGCCTGCAATGGAGGAGACCCCAGTTCGATTCCTGTGTCAGGAAGATCTGATAGAGAAGGGAAAGGCTACCCGCTCTAGTATTTGGGGGCTTCCCTGGTGGCTCAGCTGGTAAAGAATCCACCTGCAGTGCAGACTTGGGTTCAACCCCTGGGTTGGGAAGATCCCCTGGAGAAGGGAAAGGCTACCCACTCCAGTATTTTAGCCTCAAACACTCTGGAACCATTTGAGAAATACAGCTCATGAATGGGCGAAAATATTGAACATGGAAATGTCTTCAATATTCCAATCTCCCTTCTCTATCCCTTCTCCAAACTCTATTTTATACCAACAAATTTATGACACCTTAACTTTGTTTAGTGGATACTACTTGGTCCAAGACTCAGCCAACCAACCAAGCAAACAATTGGAACTCTTCTGGATACTCAAAATAGCCTCTGGAAATAAGGACCTCTGGTCAGTGTATGCTCTCTCAGGGTCTATTTCCACATGTGTTCTTTAGACTTTGCTAACACAGATCAACAAACTTTACCCTTATTTGCCTCTCCTCTTGGGTTTGACTTTATAATTGCCTTCCAGGTTCACTGAAATCTGACAGTCGTTACACATCTCCAGACTGCAGGAAAAAATGGCCTCCCATTTGCATCATGTCTGAATGTGTTCCTCAGATACTTTCCTCTCCTTCCCCTCCTCTGTTCCCTGTCACAGGTAAACTGTCATAAGTAAGTTATATTTTCTGACTTCTGTGTGAGTAAGAGGTTGGAGGGCAGGAGAAAGGGAGAAGCTGGGATGATTTTCCCCCTCCTTCTCTGCTTTCATATCACCACCACCACCAGCTGCAACTCTTCTGTGATTCCAGCTCCAACAGACCTACTATAGTTCTGTCTTTCCACTATTTGACTTGGGGTGCTAGGCCCCAGGATGACACCTCTTCCCCTAGTTCCTGCCTCTGCAAGAAATGTGAGATTTTTCAATCATCGTCATTAAAAGTCCTTAGCTTTCTGGTGAACACTTGAGCTTGTGTGCCAAGTGCCGAGTCGCTTCAGTCGTGTCCGACTCTGTGCGACCCCACAGACGGCAGCCCACCAGGCTCCCCCGTCCCTGGCATTCTCCAGGCAAGAACACTGGAGGGGGTTGCCATTTCCTTCTCCAATGCATGCAAGTGAAAAGGGAAAGTGAAGTCGCTCATTTATGTCCGACTCCTAGCGACCCCATGGACTGCAGCCCACCAGGGTCCTCCATCCATGGGATTTTCCAGGCAAGAGTACTGGAGTGGGTTGCCAT